GTATAAGAGACAGGGGACAGGCCGCAGGGCTGAGGAGAGGGCGGGGGTGCCCAGGCGATGGCTGGCGGGTGAGGTGCTGCCCCTCGGACACCCCCGGGGGGACGGTGGTGGCAGATCAGGCATGGGGCGTGGTGGAGCCCCCCAGCCTTCACACCTTACAGCGGGGCTTCCCCGGAGCTGAGAGGGGAGGCAAACCTCCGGCCTCCCTCTTCTTGCCCCAGCCGGCCGCCCTCTCTCCAAGCAGCTAATACAAGGCAGGGAATGAAGGGAGGAAGGCGAGGAATGAGACAACGAGACCCTCATTCCTGGCACCCTATAACCCGGCCCCTCCTCACTTCTGCATCAGAACGTGAATTTTCTTGAGCAGCTACTGCTCTCCAGAGCTTGGAGGGTCTGTAGTGTCTTCCACAACAGCTTGAATGCCATTCCCACGTGGGCTCTGTATACACCATGTGAAACACAATTTGAGCTTTTTATCATGGATTTGTAGGCTGCAGATGCAATGATACGGTGGGACGAGCACATAGGCAAGCACAGTCCAGTCCTCACTAGCCACAGCTACAGCATTTATTCCCAGCGCTTTGTGACATTTGGCTTCCAGTGGTGTAAGCTATGCATCGCCTCCTTGGGAAAGGTCCTTCACTTTGCAGCACATGGAAATCAGAATCATTCAGGTTGGAAAAGACCCTTGGGATCATCGAGTCCAACCCTCAGCCCGACTCGACAAAGTTCTGCCCTACACTATATCCCCCAACATCTTATCTAAACGGCCCTTAACCACATCCAGGGATGGTGACTCCACCCCCTCCCTGGGCAGCCTATTCCACTCTCTGATCACTCTTTCTGTGAAAAATGTTTTCCTAATGTCCAGTCTAAACCTCCCCTGTTGCAGTTTAAAATGATGTTGACTTTAGAATATTGCAGGGATGAGAGGATTATTACTGTGCAGCCCTAGCAAAAACATACTTTTATATATAAAAAATTAGAAGGAAACACAATGGTGAATAGAGCCCAGTTGTCAGGACTTTTGAGGGGAGTATTAGAGCATACCTGTGTTTATACAATACCTGCCACATGAGAACCTCAGAGCAGGTGATGAATGTTACAGGTAACCTGTCAGTGTATGTAGAGAGAAGCTGTCGAAGGATCACAGCAATAAGAGAGAAGCCAAGCCAAAGCATGCAAAGGGGCGTTACCTATTTGGGTCCTATCCTTAAAGCATGGTATATACTCTGCTACTATCAGATAATGTGGTTAGCTAAAGTCCACCCTCATCTTTTCCCACATGCAGGAATGCATCCAGCATTTTACACTGCGTATGGCTGTGCTCTAAGGGCATGTCCCTGTGCTCTGTGCTCTAAGGACATGTCCCTGACATGTGTCCTGCTGCCCTTAGGGTCACCTATGTGATCTGTCCATATTCCAGTCTCCCTTTGTACCAGCTACACAAGAGTGCTTCAGTTACTGGAGATTGTGAGGCTGCCCTGGGTTTGCTCTTGGCAGCACATGAGCTGCTTTTGGATTTGGGTGCACGATTAGAAATGTTCTGCAAATCCCCATCTCTGAAAGTGAAGACCACCAGGAAAGATCAAGCCCTTGTAGGCACCTGCTTTGAACATCCTAAGGAAGGCACACATCTAAAATGTCTACTCCCATTTGAAAATGTTGCCAGATAATGGAAAGGTATTTCCACTAATCCTCAGTTAAAGCATGTGTTGGAAGTGACATATATGAACTGGCGTTGCAATTGTCTCTGTTGTCTCCTATGATGAGGGAAGACATCATTAAACACTTTTTACAAGAAATGAACTTGTATTTTCAAGCAAATTTACTGCAGTAAGTGAATGTAGACATTTTGCAGTGGTTCTGTTATTTCTGATTTGATATGTGAAACCAATGACATTTTACTTTCTAATAATGTTCCTCCATTCCTCATTGCCTTCCAGTAAGTAAAATGGTTTTACATGTGAAAGCTACACAGAATGGCACAGCTCATCTTTAAAGTTTAGAACAGTTTACTCTTTCAATATTCCTTATTTTTCTATTTTTCTTCTTAATTTGATTGAAAGTGCCTGAACAACTGCTTTCTATTGGGTTACTTCCTGCAAAATTAGCACTGCGGCACTATCTAGAAACAGTATTTCAAAATGAGCCTCAAGCAACAGACTTTAACATCTACAAAGGCACCAATTTCATATCGATGCATAATGTTTAAAGAAATCCCTGCAAGGAGCCATATGGTTTTGCAAAGAATCAGCTGATGAATGAGTGCTAAATTGTCTAACTCATTCATGGTAGTCCCTTAGGCAAATCCCAGTGAGAGCTAAGCTATTTAATTATTATATTTTTTTTAATCAAAGACAATTACATAAAATTGTGTTTGCTCAAGTTGCTGAGTTTCTTTTGCCTTCTGCTTTTTAATGAACTTGGTAAATATCCACCATTCAAATATTTCCATGCTCTCTTCATCTGGACCAATTTGATAAAAGGCTGAAGAGAGCCAGAACACTGAAGATTTCATTTAGCTGCAAAAGTCACAACCACTCTGCACCTGCATTGATTTTTCCCTGACACAACTATTCTGGGCTGTTCAGTGTAGGGGAATGCAGGACAGGAGCATGGAGGCAGAACCGAACACCACCTGCTACCCCTTCAGAGGCTCAAGGTTGAACATTACTATCAGTTTACACACGGTTTCAGCAATGCCTGAGTCTGCTGCTTCATGTCATGTGGGTTGTGACAGGTTGTTGATTCAAGAAGTTGCATTTCTCACCACTGTGCTGAGAGACCAGCAAGAGCAATGCAGTTACACTTTGCAAGATCTTCTGAGTAAGTGATACCTTGCAGGAGCAGAGACTCTTCCAGAAACACTGTCCTGTCCACCACCTCTCCAGGATACCCAATGCTATCATAATTGGCAAGAGACATGTACGATGGGAACGTTCTCCTACAAGATATCTACACACATGACCAGCTGGTCCCTCCACAGATCATCTCTGGTTAGTCCAGTATTTTTAGCCAAATACATAGGCAAAGAAAACCCCAGAATTTTGTCGATTGACACCAATTATTTGGGTCTGGGGGTTCTTACATTAAAGACAAGCCACTTGTTCCATCACAAATCTAAAAGGTCAAACTGATTGCTATAGGAAGGATTGTTTCAGACTTTTGTATAATACTAAATTTTCTGGTGTAGTCTTTTTATAAAAGAAACATCTAGGTAGGAGATAGTTCCACCGTTTCACTAGATGATTCTTTGTCTGGGATTGTTTTCCAGCTTTGCAATAAAAGAGCATGTCAGGCAGAAAGAAACCCCACTGAACTTTTGAGATAGCTGTATTCAGCTTAATGGTATGGAATTAAAAAGGAGGGTTTCTTTCCCTGCCAAAATGGAACTTGGGCAAAAAAGCTTTCCTACAAATAATTTAGAGTTAAAAGAACTTTAGTTTCAGGCCCGAAGATGCAGAAACATGATAAACACTGATACTAAATTGTCACAAAGTTTGTGCCAGTTGGGTTGCAAATAAAATACTGACCTTCTGTGTGAGATGTATAGACTCTTAACCACTGGTTTGATTCAAGCAAAAGGATGACAGTTATTTGAAATCTCTGAGCTACCTCATAAGGAGTAAGGACTATATTTAAACAGATGTTCTCAAAGGAGAAATGGTCTATTCATTAAACCATCAATAATGCAAGGCCAAAGATACCTGGCGATCTCCTCTAATTATGTGAAATATTGACTGTGACAACACGTCAGTCTACTGTAACATTTTATAATTCTGTCATAGGAGATGAATGAACCTGCTCTGTACGGTCTAGATCACTAATTAAGTAACCATTTGTAAGTTGGATGGAGCAGGAATAGCTGTAGGAGAACCATCACAAATCAAGGAGCACCTGTAACTTACATTCATATTCAGAATAATTTTTAAAAATGATCCTACAGCGTTTCCTGAAACTGCACACCAACGTTGACACACTTGACTAGTATCAATGAGGGTAAATTGCTTTTTTCTCTGTGGAAAGATATATTCAGACACTAACTGGAACTTAATGAGCATTTTTCAGTGTTAGACAATATATCTCCACATCATAAGTTAGTATTTATACATGAATGCACCCAAAGATCAAGGTACATCTCATTGCACTGCAAGCGGGTGTCTTTGGGGGTCTGGGTGTATCCCCAGATAGCCTTTAAGTCAGGACTGAGATCAGGTGGATCAAAACAGGTAGAAAAGGAGGGTGCAGAGGAAAAGAAGAACCCCAAGCTTCCAATGAGAGGAAATCCAACCCAGATTATGCTTGAAGAGCCTCTGGTGCTAAATGACAGTGACAGAAACACCACTTTCATGCATATGCAAATAGGACTGCTTTCAAACGTGTCGTTAGCAAAAGTTTCTCAAACCATTTAAAGAGACTGGTTTGGATGTCACATTGGCTCACTGATGGAATGTTTCTGAAGCTCTTTCTGTCTGACGTCTGAGCTGTCCCATCCTTGGACAGCCACAGCCTGTAATAGAACTGAGGTCGCTCAAGCTGGTTTCTCCAAATGAGAGACTGCACAGAGCTGTGGCTTCCGATACCCGAAGGAATTGCTTTTTTCTTCCTTTCCCAAGGATGTGGAAAGGAAGAGAACTGCTCTGAAGCTGCTAAAAGCTGTAGCACTGCCTCCAGTTACAATGGGAGCGCTGAAGTCCATTCCTGATGT